CAGAGATCAGGAATACAAGGAACATACCTAAACATAATAAAGGCAATTTACAGCAGGAAGACAGCCAACATCAAATTTAATGGAGAGAAACGCAAAGCAATTCCACTAAAATCAGGAACAAGGCAAGGCTGTCCACTCTCCCCATACTTATTCAACATAGTACTTGAAGTTCTAGCTAGAGCAATAAGACAACATAAGGAGATCAAGGGGATACAAATTGGAAAGGAAGAAGTCAAGCTTTCACTATTTGCAGGCAATATGATAGTATACATAGGTGACCCCAAAAATTCTACCAGGGAACTCCTATAGCTGATAAACTCCTTCAGTAAGTTTGCAGGGTACAAGATTAACTCAAAAAAAATCAGTAGTCCTCCTATTATACAAATGATAAATGGGCTGAGAAAGAAATCAGAGAAACATCACCCTTTACAATAGCCACAAATAATATAAAATACCTTGGAGTAACTCTAACTAAGCAAGTGAAAGACCTATATGAGAATAACTTTAAGTCTCTGAAGAAAGAAATCAAAGAAGATATCAGAAAATGGAAAGATCTCCCATGCTCATGGATAGATAGAATTAACATATTAAAAATGACAATCTTACCAAAAGCAATCTACAGATTCAATGCAATCCCCATCAAAATCCCAACACAATTCTTCACAGACCTGGAAAGAACAATACTCAACTTCATATGGAAAAACAAAAAACCCAGGATAGCCAAAAGAATCCTGTACAATAAAACAACCTCTGGAGGCACCACAATCCCTGACTTCAAGCTCTACTATAGAGCTACAGTAATAAAAACAGCTTGGTACTGCTATAAAAACTGATGTGGACCAATGGAACGGAATTGAAGACCCTGACATTAATCCGCACACCTATGAATATATGATTTTCGACAAAGAAGCCAAAACTGTACCATGGAAAAAAAAGCATCTTCAACAAATGGTGCTGGCATAACTGGATGTTAACATGCAGAAGATTGAAAATAGATCCATATCTGTCATCATGCACAAAACTCAAGTCCAAGTGGATCAAAGACCTCAACATACATCCAGTTACACTGAACTTGATAGAAGAGAAAGTAGGGAGTAGTCTTGAACTCATTGGCACAGGAGACCACTTCCTAAATATAACACAAGTAGCACAGACACTGAGAGAAACAATTAATAAATGGGACCTCCTGAAATTGAGAAGCTTTTTTAGGGCAAAGTACATGGTCAATAAGACAGAATGGGAAAATATCTTCATCAACCCCACATCTGACGGAGGGCTGATCTCCAAAATATATACATAAAACCTCAAAAAGCTGTACTTCAAAATACTGAACAATCGAATTTAAAAAATGGACTATAGAGCTTAACAGAGAATTCTCAACAGAAGAAACTCAATTGGCTGAAAGACATTTAAGGAATTGCTCAACATCCTTAGTCATCAGGGAAATGGAAATCAAATCGACTCTGAGAAAGCATCTTACACCTGTCAGAATGGCTAAGATAAAAAACACTGAAGACAGCTTATGTTGGAGAGGATGTGGAGCAAGGGGAACACTCCTCTACTGCTGGTGGGAATGGAAACTTGTACAGGAAATCAGTATGGCGGTTTCTCAGAAAATTGGGAATCAATCTTCCTCAATACCCAGCCATACTACTCTTGGGCATATACCCAAGGAATGCTCAATCTTAACCACAAGGACACTTGCTCAACTATGTTCATATCAGCATTATTTGTAATAGCAAAAACCTGGAAACAACCTAGATGCCCCTCAACTGAAGAATGGATCAAGAAAATGTGGCACATACACACAACGGAGTACTACTCAGCAGTAAAACAATGATATCATTAATTTTGCAGGCAAATGGATGGAACTAGAAAATATCATCCTGAGTGAGGTAACGCAGATTCAGAAGGACAAACATAGTATGTACTCACTCATAAGTGGATACTAGATGCAGGGCAAGGGATGGCCAGACTGCAGACAACAGCTTCAGAGAGGCTAGCTGACAGGGAGGGACCTTGGAAGCAACACATGGATAGCCTAGCGAACTAGAAGTGGATGGGATCTGCATGAGCAGGCTTGGGGAAGGGGGTGGGGTTGTGGAGGGCAAGGAATGGGGGGCAAGAACATAGGGAAATGGGAGGGTCGAGCAGGAGCAGGGATGGAGTGGGAGAGCAGGGCAGGAGATACTGTGATAGATGAAAACATCATGGGAGTAGGAAGAGCCTGGATGCCAGGGAAGCGCTCAGGAATCCACAGGGATGACTCCACCTTGGACTACTGGCAGTGATCAAGGGGATGCCTTGACTGGTCTACTCTGGGGGCTTGGACCTACCTAGGTTCCGCATTCCAGGCTCTGCTGACTCCCCATGGGAGACCTTGATTTGGAGGATGTGGAGATGGGAGGTGGCTTGTGAGGGAGGGCTGGGGGGTGAGAGAAGAGAGGAGGTGGGATCTGTGGGTGTTATGTAGGGTGAGTAGAAAAATCTCTTTAAAAAATGAAAAAAAAAGAAAACAATCAGGCTTCTAAGCAATACTTATAAAATAAAATATAATATAGTAGCATATGAAACTAAAAATACCATACCAAAATAGTTCAAAACTACCACACAAGAGGAAAATTGCCCAAGAAAGCACATAAGAAACAGATATAGACACAGAGACCCACTTGTTCACACTCTCAGGAATTTCATAAAACCACTTATCTAGAAGCCATAGTACATACACAAAATACGTAATATAATATAAAAGAGTAAAAATGAAAAGCCTGACAGGACATTATGATACTACAACAACACCACTGAGTTTGCTTTCGCTTGGCAATCTAGTGCTACATTTGCAGCCTATACTTAAAAGAAGTTTTTGTTGCCTTCAGGAGACTCTTAGAAACAAGTAGACTTTAATTTGCAATTGGCTAGCAATTGGAAATAGCTACTGGGTTAGGAATAGAGGAATATGAATGCTTCACATTTCAGCTCTGGGAACTCATCTGGTACAGACTGCTGCAGGCCCTGTGCATGTTGCCTCAGTCTCTGTGAGTTCAAATGTGCATCTACCTTGTTCATTTAGATGCCTTGTTCTCTTGGTGTCCTCTATACTTTCTGTGCCCAACATTCCTTGTGCCTCACCTACCACAGTGTTCCCTGTGTCCTGAGGGGAGGGATTAGATGAAGGCATGCAATTTAGGGCAGAGAATTCCACTGCCTATCACTCTCAGCATAATATCTGGATGTGGGTCTCTATATTGGCTCTCATCTGCTGCAGAAGAAAGCTACTTTTACAACAGTTGAAGAAGACACGGATACATTGTAGAATGTCATTAGTATTCATTTTATTGCTGTGTTCCTTTAATAGAACTGTAGTATTTGGTTTTACCCTAGGCCCTTGAGCTATCTTGCTTCAGATGCTTTGACACATGAAAACAGTATCAGATATATTTTCCATTTCATGGAGTGGACCTAAAGTCAAAGTAGATGTAGCTTGGTTACTCCCCCAAGATCTACTATTACAGTAGCTTATGTTGCAGTCTGTATATACACCTGTGTGTGAATTTATGTTTGTGTGTGTGTGTGTTTATGTTTGTGTGTGTGTGTCTACATTTCCATGTATTCTACATACTTCACCTTGTTTTGTTGTTGTTTTTTGTTTGTTTTGTTTTGTTCTTTTTGGATTTCTTTCCTGTTTGTTTTCTAAATAGAGAGAAAAAGAAGTCATTAAGTTGGGTGGGTGGGCTATTAAGGAGGATCTGGGAGGAGATGAGGGAGGACAAACCATGATCACAAAGTATTGTACAAAAATGTATTTTGAGAGTTACCCTGATGAACCTATTCTCAAAATTAGAATCTGGCTTGTTTTCAGTTTTACTATAGTGATTGACATAATTTATCCTCTACCTTATTCTTAAAAGTTTACAGCTTGTGAACTAGAAAATGACTGATTACAGACAAATGACATGATACAAGGCACACAGCACATAATGTCTTAGAAATTTATGCAAATGTACATTACACAAGAAATTAGAAGAGTCAGAAATGCTGTTCCTAAAAATTTCATATTTTTATGGAATGTTGATACAATATGGAGAAATGAGTACTCATAAATATGCAGAAGTTATACAATAAACAGTTTCAGTTGAAAAAATATAGAACAATTTATCAAAATTGAAGAATTGTAGATGACTGAGCACACAAACAGTTTGGATATCTCTAGTCAAAGATAGATATGAGCACATGTTGTACAGAAGTGGTTACAGAAGGGCTTTTCAAACCACAGATTTGACAGAAGCTTCATGTAATTGACTGTTTGGGTATGTATCTGATTAACTGATATCTGAGCTTGGGTTATAATTAAGAAATAAAATTGTCTTTGCGCAATCCTAATATGTATCTCATTACACAAATATTTGACAGAGTAATATATTCATGTCAAAATCATATTCATTTTTTTAAAATGTGCCTTTGTTCACAGCAAAAGCATACATAAAATGTAAGCCTGATGAATCCAGGAAACATATCAAGTGTATCAAAAACACATGATATGTATGAAAACTTTTGGGACTATGACGGTAAAGTTATACAATGTTGAAGAGGTGAAGAATACACACATATCCCATTCATTTTTTTCTTTGATATTAATTGAGAGAGATAATGAATTTTTATTGAAGTAAGCATACTAATTTAGAGGAATGTGCAAAAATATTAGAAGATGGGAGAATCAGGATGTATTTCACCAATAAATGAAGCCAATAAATAGAAAATCTTTAATTGCTGTATGATCTCTGACAACTGGATTGGTACTAAACAGGCTTGAAGGCTTCTAAATTAGAAGTCAGCTTCTAATATAAACAAATGTGTAAATAATAGAAGATGAGAGAATAAAGATGACTTTATAATGAAATATATATATACATATATATAATCTTAAATTTCTATATTATCTCTGACAATTGAATTAGTGCTCAAAAGGCTTGAAGAATTCCATGTAATTAAGAGAACACAGACTAAGCTGTAAGATTGACTTTTTCTCTAGAATATGCTTTGTTCCTGACATGAGAAAGCACATTCCTATGTGATCTTAACAAAATAATATAGCACTTGGGGAAAAAGATGCAGCCTAGGAGGCCTGCACTGGAAGCCAGGATAGAGAAGACTTCCATGGCCACCATGTGTTTCCCCTTGGTGCTGTGGTAGACAGGCAGGAAGGTGACCCACACACTGAAGAACACCAACATGCTGAAAGTGATGAACTTGGCTTCATTGAATGTGTCAGGCAGGTTCCTGGACAGGTAAGCCAAAGTGTAGCTTCCAAGTGCCATGGAGCAGAGGTATGCCAGGACAGAATGGAAGGCAATAGTGGAGCCCTTGTTGCATATAATAATTATGTAGCCATGTTCAGTGTAAGCATCTGAGTCAATAAATGGAGGAGAGGTGCTCAGCCAAATTCCACAGAGCACAATTTGGATGAGGGTGCAGATGGGAATGATGAGGTTAGGGGCCCTTGATATCATTAACCACCTTGTCAGTCTGTCTGGAACTGTGACCTTGAAAGCCAGAACCACAGTAATAGTTTTGGCCAAGACTGTGGAGAGAGCCACAGTGAATAGAACTGCAAATGTGCTCTGCTGCAGGATACAGGTGGCTGTGTTGGGATGACCAATGAATAGCAATGGACAGAGAAAACAGAAGGTCAGAGTGATGAGCAAGATGTAAGTGAGAGCCTGGTTATTGGCCTTGACGATGGGGGTGTGGTGGTGCTTCACAAAGACCACCAAAACAACAGCTGTTAGTGAAGAGAAGCCCAAAGCCAAGCAGATGAGTGCCATCCCCAAAGGGTCTTCATAGGACAGAAAGGTCACTGCTTTCTGGAGACAGTGGTTCTGCTCTGTGTTTGCATAATGACTTTCTGGACACCTCACACAATGATCCATATCTACTCAGGAATTAAAGTTATTATGAGTCTCTGTTCAGTTTCCCATTTTGTCTCAAGCCACTTCCCAGCACCAGCTCTCTGGCATTTGCCCACATTTCCTCTGTTGTTCCAGACTCAAGTAAATCTGTTCTCAATAGTGATGATTACTAAATGCTCTCTAATCAATCATTCCAGATCGATACTGCCTATCTTCTTTGTTGGACATAATGTGAATAAGTCTATACTTTTTATTGTTATACTTAAATATAATTTCAATTAAGTAATAATTTATATTTCTATTCATTTATATTGTCATAAATTGTTGAATTAAATTGCATAAACCTAACTTGATCATAGGATCACCTCCTTCTGAATTACCTTGTGTGACTTTGTCATGTGAGTTCAGTATAAGGAGTATGTGCTTTGAAATTTCTTTCTTGTAATGTTGTTCTCAGTCATCAGGTTCAGGTTAACTATTCCTATAGAATTGATTTAATTCTTCATTGTGTTCCTTTCTCTGACAGTACTTGTGGGAATGAGAATTATTAGATTCCTGAAAGATGGAAAAACTCCCTTTGAGAAACTGTTTAATCATTTCCAGGGAGAAAATATCTATTTAATAGATAGATATAAAATACTTGTTTTAATTTTAGTATGCCATGGAATAATTTTTGATACTTTACTACTTATAATTTGTTGCTTGAATTTCTAAAGGGTCTTATAATAAAAAAAATACCCAGAGCCAGATATTGTGGTAAATGCTGAAAGATCAGAGAGACAAAGGAACAAGCCACTGCCATGTCTCACCTAGCCACTCCATGAATCTTCTGTTTTCCTCTGTGTCCTCAGTCAAAAGGACCTAGGTGGAAAGGCACTTAGTTCCTGTCTCCTCACACCTTATATACCTTTCTCTGTCCAGCCATATTACTTAATTCCTAGTGCTGGGATTAAAGGTATGTGTGCTTTCCAAATACTGGTAGCAACATGCATGAGATCTCAAGTGCTGGGATTAAAGGTGTGTGACTACTACTGCCTGGCTCTGTTTCTCTCCTAGATTGAATCAATCTCATGTAATCCAGGGTGACTTTTAACTCACAGAGATCCAGACAGATTTCTGCCTTGCAAGTGCTAGGATTGAAGGTATGTGCCACCACTACCTGGCCTCTATGTTTAATCTAGTGGCTGGCTCTGTCATCTGATCCTCAGGCAAGCTTCATTTGATACACAATATATCACCACAATAATTTGTGAGTTTCATCATGAATTCAAAACATGTAAATATCAATGTATTTATTCCATATTTTCATTAAATATTTCTATTTTGTATTTCTCGTAAAATGTACATAGTTTTGCAAAGTGGAATTTGAAATTTAATTTTGGTTGAAAATTCTAATTAAAAACCTATTGAATTCATCATTTCGATATTGCCTACAAAGTCTTTTATTCCATTATCAGCATTTTATTTGTTGTTTATTCCAGATGTGCCTTCTTGCTACCCTTTTACTATCAAGACACTTTGTCTCTACTATATCCCATGTGTTTACACCTATTGGTTTCTAACAGAGCATGAATACTTCATATGCACAACCTCTTATATTCTTTAGTGAAAGCACAGAGTAAATAAGTTATGATAAATATTTTGTAGAGATTTAAACACATTTTTAAAATATACACCCACCTCATTCAATGTGGTTTGAGTTATAGCATTCACTGTTTTGAAATATTTAGCATTTATGTTTTAGCTTTTTCTTTCTTACTAAAAATATTTCAAAGTGTCTCCTTAATCTGCAACCATGTGGGATTGGGAATTTGATATTGATGTTTTTGGTTTCCTCCAATGAATATAATTACCATGCGCATGAACTTACTATGGCACAAATGTACTCAAAGCACCTATATGCACATTAAATCTTCGATGGTATGTATAGCCAGTATCAATATGAAGTTTGAAATTAGGCAAATTAAAGAAACCAAAAAAAAAATTGAAAGTTTCTATCTATATGAAGCAAAGTTAAAACATCTGAATGTTCAGGAAAACCATTATATTGCTCAAAACATTACTATTGATACATGAATAATCTCATTAGACATAAATGTTAAGGTTGAGGAATCCTCTTTTATTTTCTCTCCATATTCAACATTGTGTCTGTGTGTGCTCCTCACTTTCACTGTTTCAATTGTCTCATGCCTATTTTCTGTTCCTTGAATATATTTTGGCATAAGGTTCCTCTACTATGTCCACCTTTGACTGGAAAAGAGGATCCGTCAAATTCAGTGTCCTGTCTTGTTCTAAGAACAAGGGTGTACATCTATGCCTTGCATACCCACAACACTGTCATTAACGGAAGTGGTAATGTGTCATTTCAACTAGTTGTCACAAGACATTCTTTCATAATTTACCATTTCTATGTTTAATAATGATTTCATTAACTTTTTATAGAAAATAGAGTCATTTGTATAAAACAAGTTAATGAGTACTTATCACATTCTTGGACTTATATTAATCAAATTAAAACAGAAGAGATACAAATCTACATTCAAATTATGACACATAGCATCTATTGATTTAAAAAAATTGTGTTCACATTGGCTACACAAATTTACATTCCTATCTATGCCATATAAGAGTTCTTAGTTTTATATATCCTCCATATATTATTCTTATATTCTCAAAGATCATGATTCTGAGTGGTTTGAGGAAGAATTTCAATGCAATTTTGATTTTTACTTCCCTTATGGCTAAGGATGTTGAAGTGTGTGTGTGTGTGTGTGTGTGTGTGTGTGTGTGTGTGTGTGTGTGTGTATGTGTGTGTGTGTATGTGTGTGTGTGTATTCACTTGTCATTTGTAATTCTTTTGAGAAGCACACTAATTCATTTGTCTACTTATTAACTACTTTATATATCTGTTGTGAATAGGTTAAGATCTGTTCTTCAGGTAGTATAGATTTCTGTGATGAGGTACTGTGGAAATCATGGCATACATGTAGCTATCTGCACTGGTTATTTTGTCAACTTAAGTCTAAATATGCCTAGGGAGAGGGAATCACAATTTAAAAATTGCTGGCACTTGACTAGCCTGTGGGCATATTTATGGGGCATTCTCTTGATTGCTAACTGGTATAGGAATGCCCAGCTCTCTGTGGGCAGTAACATCCCTGGGCAATGGGATCTGGGATATAAGAAACGTAATGAAGCACACAGTAAGCATTGCTCCCCTGTGGTCTCTTGCCTTGAGTCCCGGCCTTGGCTTCCCAGTAAAGGACTGTAAAGAGCAGTGTGCATCAAACCCTTGCCTCCCTCAAGTTGCTTCTGGTCAGAGTTTTTCACAGAAACAGAGAAGCAAACTAGAAGAGTATCTAATGGGCTTTTCTAGGAAAATGGAAAAGGAGGCAGTTACTAATAGAGAAAAGTCTAGAGACTCAGTTCCAGGAAGTTAACAACTTAACTATCAGAAAACTTGATTGTGAGCATACAAGATACATGAAATAAGAGGTTGACTTGAGAATTTAATCTGAGTAACTGATAAAGTCAAGTTTTCTTTGGCAGTTATTCACTCTTTCTTTTAATTTACTTGTTTATTAAGAAAATGTCCTTTGAATGTTTATTGTATACTTGGCAGTTTTAAGAAGCTAGTGTTAGTAGCTTAATTGTCAATGAGAACTCAAAGTTGTAATTATTGCATTTGGTTGTTGATATGAATGTTTTACAGGAAATAATACTTTTTTTTAAAAATTGTGTTCAATGTAAGATTCTCATAATAAGATTTTGACATACCTCCCCAGTGGATATATATTTGCCCACATGTATAAGATCTTTAATACCTATGTTATTGAAGGATATCCCTCGCCATGGAAGTTACATAGTTTGATGTTTCTAGTACTCATATGGGGATGGAGGAAAACAGGGAAGAAAAGATACTCATTAAGGGAATGTGGAATGTTATTTATACTAGAAATCAAAAAGATAAAGGTAGATAAATGGTTCTGTGGTTCAGGATACTGCTACCTAGTTTTAGTTGCAAGCGCCCACATGGATGTCAGTGCTATCTGTGCCTCCACCTTCAGAAGATCTGATGCCCTCTTCTAACTTTGATGTGCACTAAGCAAGTACATGTGCACATACACGCATGCAGGCAAAACACTCACATATAAAACAAAATGAAAAAATGTAAAATAAAAATTTTAAATATGTACATGGGTAAATCAAATATGACCTTTCTGATCACTCCTGATGAACCCAGAATCATGACTGAAATTATCCAACTAAGGGCCATAAGAAATCAACCCTTCAATGTGTGCTAACTATGAACTAACTATGGTTTGAAATAAAAGAAAAGTCAGTAATTTATAGTGTGTGTGTGTGTGTGTGTGTGTGTGTGTGTGTGTGTGTGTGTGTGTGTGTGTGTGTTAAATGCCATGGTGAAATAAAGCAGACTACTCTGTGATGGGGGAAAGCTTATCTCCGAAGGAAGCAATGGCTGTAGTAGATCAACAATATACATCAAGTATGAGTTCCAATGTCCAGAGCACCATCCAAATTGCTGAAAAAATGAACTAAAATATTTTTACTTCTAACTGAAAGAATCACAGGACTTATCTACTTATCTCTACTTTTCCTTCATAAAACTTGTCCATCTGTTTAGACATCGCAGAACACTGTGGAGAGGTGGGAAATACCCCAGTCAGACTGACACTTACCTGTCTCATTGGCAATCTCATTGTCTGGACAACGAGTACAATCATAGCAGCAGGCAGCTTTCCCCTCCTGAGAGGATTTTCTGAATCCAGGAACACAGCTCTCACTGCACACAGAGCGGGGAAGCTGAGAATTAAATATAGAAGAGAAAATACTCAGGAGTGTATAGTTTTAAAATAATAAAAATGATATTTTTCAATATAGAACAATGATATGGCAAGATTTACATTTATTATTTGAAGATTTTTGTTTTGATGCATTGCTTCTAATTTCAATATAGTATATCTAAGAAGATCAATGTGTTTAAACAATGATCTAAAGACAACAGAAATCTGAACAATTGTGAAAATATAAGAGATAGGGCAAAATAAAAAGTTAGGTCATGGAGTATGTGTCTAAATGGGCAAGTGTCTAAATGACATACTGATCCTATTGTGTACTTCCTGACAGCTGGAGTGAGCAGCTTTGTGTTCTCAATGGTTATGCTTAGCTAACATTTGTCAGCTTGACAAGATTCAGAATAAACATATGAACTAGTCTTTGTGACTTTCTATGAGAGATTACATATTCTATAAGTATGTGCACTATTTCATTGGTTGTTATTGCTAAGGACTGAAAAAGAAAACAAAAAGGGATGTGAAGAGCAGTGTTCACGTCAGTCTACTTCCTGACTGAAGATACATTATGACTCACTTTCTTAGATCCTTGCCAACATGATTGCCTGAATCATTATGAACTGCTCATGCCAAATGTAACCCAATAAAGTCTATGTTCTTAAGCTATGTCTACCAGGTTTTTCTTTTTCTTTTTTCTTTTTTTTTTGTTGTTTGACAAATTGCTTCCTTTTTTCAGCAGCAAAACATGTAATTAAACCATTCACATGTGCCATCCATGCTACTGTGCATTACCAGGTGCCTGAAAGCAAAATGACCATGCATTGATATTTCCAAATCTGGCAGTCAAACTAGTACTCTTGTCAGGTGGTTTCAGGACAGGAATGTCATCTTAATAAATAGACACTGTATTTATCAATGGAAATAAGTACCCACAGGAAAAAGGTGTGGGAAAATATACAATCCCATTTCTCAGAATAAGGCAACAAATACTTTCTCATATAACAGTAGTTTTGTTCATACAGCTGGGCACTGAGTAAGGAAACAACAATCATTACATCCACAAACAAATGTTTATTGACATAAAGATCAAAACAATGAGATAAGATCCAGCCCACCTCTGTAAATCCTATAGCCCACTGTATCATATGGTCACACAGAAACAGTTCTTGGCCCTGTGGAGCTTTTGGAGAAAATGTTCCAACTTTCATCTTTTGTCTGAGACCATCTGGAAAATTCCAGAAGTTGAGAATATCATATTCTGCATCTAATTTCCTTTGTGAATCCAAAACCACAAGCTTTCCAGCACCATTTTTTAAATGGACATTCTTGAGAAAAGGGTGAAGCTAAAAGAGATGCAGAATTTGATGATGAATTTGTTCCCAGAAAGGAACCCAATGAAGCAATGCACCTTATTGTCCTAAATCCCTGCCATTATTTGCTAGCTATACCAAGTTATCAACCTTTTAAAGGATGAAGACCAAATGTGAATATTGTCATAATGTTTCTAGACAGTTTAGTGTAACACAAATTGCTAAATGGTCTTATTTAAAAAAAAAAACCTGGAGCCAGTTATTGGGGCGAAAGCTGAGAGATCAGAGGAACAGAATAAGTCAGCCACAAGTTCTTACCACTAGGAAATCCTCAGCCCAAAAGAGATACTTCCTGTATCCTCACACCTATATACCTTTCTGTGCCCTGCCATCTTACTTCCTCTCTCCACCCAGCTCTTTCAGTTCCTGTCTGTCTGTACAGACCTACAGACCTCCATGGTTAACTAGTGCTGGGATTAAAGGCGTATACCACCACCCCGGCTCTGTTCCCAGTGTGACCTTGAACTTACAGAGATCCGATGAATCTCTGCCTCCCAAATGCTAGGATTAAAGGCGTGTGCTACCACTGCCTGACCTCTATGCTTAACATAGTGGCTGACTTTTTCCTTTGATCCCCAGGTGAACTTTGTTAGAGCACAAATAAAATATCACCACAAGTTAGTTTCAAAAGAAAGAATTGACACACACAAACACACAATAACAAGCAAATAAACAAATAGATTTAATTGATGAATGTGAATTCAAGCAAATATCCACAGTCTTCAAGTGCTAGCTGCATCCAAATATTTAAGTAATCTAGTCAAAGTTTCAGTTTGTAAACTGGGGTGTTTATGTCCAAAATGTAATGAAAATGGTCAGTTAGGAAAGATAACCATAGCTTCAGAATTTTAACCATAAGGATTTAATAGCATTTGACCATTATGGATATAGTTCTCCTATTTCTGTTCTATAATGTATTTAGACATAATGAGGTTTCAATTGAGTATTATATCATGAGAAGATTCTGAGGTTAAATGTAACACAAAGTATATAACGACATACATTTAAACCTTGTTATTGCCACCCATTCTCATGAACAATGACACGTGTCTGCAATCACTTCTATATGTGGAATTACATACAGTCTCTCAGGTGCTTTTTTGCAAAACCTGCCACAGTGTACAATCATGTAATGTGTGCTTTTGTAAAACCTCAGAATGTCACTGGGCTAAAACATTGATAAAATATACAGGTATACAAACATTGATAAAATACATAGGCAGAGAAATTACCTCCCAAGGGAAGTTATGTATCTCCCCATTTCCATGGGGCTGAATTTGTACTTGTTTGAGTGTCATCTCATGGAGACTGTGAGCCACAGCATACACAGAATTATATACAGTGTAACTCTCTTCAGTCATATCCATTTCCCAAACATTTTTAGGCAACATTTCCAAGGAAACATTGGGTAGACAGCTACTCAAAATTTTACAATCAGGTCCAGAAAAAGGACAATTGAAGTATGTGTTCCACAAAACAGCAAGATAACCATCTTCTGGGTATTTGGAAGGGTTGTATGTCTGGACAAACTTCCTAAAATCAGAAATCTCAACACGGTGGTGTGCAAAAATGAGACTCCCATGGAATGAATCAAATATGAAATACTCAAAATCAGTAGTTGAATCCCATTGTGACCTCATGATCCAAACTTTCCCATTCATTAAACGTATCCCTGTATTTATGATTATACCATGTGAAGATTCGGTGTCACCATAAATGAAAACCACATTTGCAGATGATTTCAGAATCTTCAGGTAAGTTGTTCTGGAAAAGTCGTCAGAGGAAATCAAGTTGTCCTGAATCATTTCTACAAAAGCTATGCACACTCTGTTCCTGTCCATCTCTCCTCTCAGGTCTGAGAGAATCTCAGCCCCATTGTGGTCATCTATGAGAACCAGTCCCACCCAGGTCCAGTTGAAATGAACCATCAAAATGACAATGCCTTGTGACAGAGATGTGTCCTTGGGTGCAGTCTGGTAGAGAGAAGTGAATTGGGCTCTGTCACTTAGCATAGTGTCAAATGGCCCAAAATTAATCTGAAGGAAATTTCAAATAGGAAACAAGAGTGAAAACATTGACATAGAACACAATTTAAGACCTGAGGTGACACTTTGGATTGGTATAGACTAACTTCTACTCGTGGTGTTTTAAACTTTCATTTTGTTTTTGAAGAACTTTATAGAATTACTCAAAGGCAGAATATGTTTTTCTTGTTTTTCTAATCAACCAGTATAGGCTCCACCATATTTTTTTTTAATCTCAAGCAAAGTATATGAGGCTATATAACCAAATGCCTGATTTATACGCTTTGAAAGATGAATGACACAGCATCATTTCTTACATTTGAAAACACCTGAAATGTCTGCAGTATAATACTGGTTTCTTTTTTCTTCACAGTCAAGTCCCTTACCTGTGGATATTTGTAGAGATTGAGCAGTCTCCCAATATGTGCAGAGGTTGCCCATGATGTTCCTGTAAGTAAAGCAGCAGCCTTCTTCTGTCCTCTACATGTGTAATTCGGAATGATTATTCTAGCTCCTGTGAGGCAAGTAAAAGCTTCCTGGAGAATATGCCATTGATTGCTTGGGACATGATAGAGATCAAATCCTAGAGATGTGTTGGGTAAAATGTGAGTATTCTTATTGATCTCCTCAACGGCAAATATGAAGGCCAAAGAAAACTGGTAGCTCCTCCACTTGAACCTGCACAGAAAGATTGTCAATATTTATGAAGGGGAATCATATCATATTGAACAGTATGATGCAAGGGCTTTTATACCTTCAATATTGTATATCTACAAGTAATATTTTTTGTCATCACGGTAATGGTTATAAGTTGAATACCCGTGTATATAGTAAGTGATGGCTTAAACCTAAAAGCCTCAGATGGATCTAAAATTTCTGGACAAAAATGTTGACCTGAGCTGATAGCAACCTTGGACTCTCTGGTAAGGACAAACACAAACAAACTCCCCTAATTCTTTGACACTGTAGTGAAATAACCAGAAGATGTTAAGCTTCCATCCTTTAAAGCTCCCCTGTTCTATCCTATAAAACCCCCAAGTCCTCCACACCACACCCACTATGTCTGTACATAGATGGAGAGACTGTAGCCCTTCAGTTGTTCTGATGGAGGACCAATGATGCTTATGGTGATGTCTACCTGTGTCACATGCATCAACCCCAAAGCAACATTTGGATCTAAACCTGGGAGGAGATTGGGGGTATCCCACACCCAAGCACATCCCTTTGAATTCCTTTCCTCTCTTCCATTGCCATTTCTCTCTCCTTTCTGAGAGCCATACAATGAAGAGTAGAAGGATTCAGTTAGCTCCCAATGGTTTAACAGCCTACAGGCTTGACTTGAATCCTCTGGGGGTTTTGTGTGTGTGTGTGTGTGCTCAGTTTTAGTATTTTCCCTAATCTGACTGCCTCTTTTGCTCTCCTTTCACTATGTTCTTACCACCCACATAAAGTCAATTACACAACAACCTCAAATACCAGATGACAGACGTAATTTCATTACCCTGCAGCTGATTTCAACAATTGAACAGAAAATATGACCAAGTTTATTGCACACATGACTTGAGGATTCTCATCAAGATAGAACCATCATGTGACTTGACTGCTAACTTTGCTAACAATATCATAAAGAAAGCACATGCCATGTGACTTCACCACCATCTTGGTTAATGTCACCACTTGGGACAAGTCAAAATAGTGGCCACCATTATGCTTCATGGTCCCATTGAGTCCAATAGGACCACCACACCCATTTTATATACAACCATGGAGAAAATTTTGGACTTCTATGGTGTTTATTTTGTAACTTTTAGTGTTTTGTTTTAACCGCAATAGGCTTTGCATGATATAATTGCTGACTTCCAAAGATAAACTAATAGAAATTCACAGATCCCAACAAAGACGCAAAGAATGAATTGCCAACTGAGAGACAAGGTGCAGCCAGGAAAGCGCTACTAGAGTAGCCTCAACTAGGTCTCACTGCTGATTCAGACTAGTAAGTCCAAACAACTTTTTCTCTAAAATGTCTTTTGCTCCTTTGTTCTCTGAATATCTTCTTTTGTTTCTGCACGAACTTACAAAATATTTACTAAGGATCCTTATGTTAAGTTTCCCTTTCACAATGAAAAAGATAAAACTCTAATGCCAACAAGCAATAATCATAAGATTTTCATTCATTAGCATTTGTCTTTTGCATTACTTATGTATAGACAGTTCCTTTGAAATTATGGTTTGTTGTTCATATCATGTTTAATAACAAAATAACAAAATGATTATAGGTAAATGCTCTTGTGAACTACAATTGTTGATTTGACCTTCATTTATTTTGTTCATAGTAATATTAAAGGTAAAAAAATCTTAAATACAAATATGTATTTAATCAACATGACCACATAGATAAAATAAATAGAAATGACTATGTTTCTGAACACTTCTTTGGAATAATTAACCTGAGGTTTTACATATAAATTTAATGTCTACTTTTAAGACCAAGACTTATGGAATAATACAGTTCTGGTCAAAATTATATCTCCTTGATGCTTATCCCAACTCTGGTTCTACAATATAGCTCATATCACTTAAGGTTATTGATAACCTTTAAGATATTATTGTTCCTAAACCAGGATATTTTAGTCATATTGGAATATAGCCATCATTTATATATGAATAAGATATATTTGTGCTTGTAAATGTGATATATATAGATATGATGTATGTATGAATGCATATAAAGAAATAAACATTTTAATGATTATAAGGACATTTCCCACCAATGAAGCTTCATTAAAAATAAATAAATAAATAGATAGATAGATAAATAAATAAATAAATATGTGTTTGAAGATCCAGCACAGGCATTTTGTCCTGTCTAGTAAGTAAAACAACAACAAGCAGAATCTACCTTCAATTCTGGTAGACTAAAATGACAACAGCAGAACATGTTAAATATTAATAGGACTTTAAAAAATGAGAACATGACTTGACAATATTTTTAAAAGGTGGGAGGGGGATATCTATCTATCTATGTAATGATAAGTTATCTTAGTATAAACTGAGTAAAGAATTTCCAGTGACTAAACCTAGGCCACCCACATTGTCATCAGAAAGACCTTACTTATTTTCTGTAAGCCTCATGAATTCATGGGTTCCCTATGGTGAACTTTGACAAGAATGAAACTTGGTGTCATTGAGAACTTAAAGAGAAGGGATGGACATTACTTGAGGCTTCCCCAATGAGAGAATATTCTCACAATAGATAGTAAATTTAGTTCTTAAACCTCCTATGCCTCGTGGTCTTTTCATTTGAAAATTAATCACAACAAAACGAGGTATGATTATGTGTCTCTTTGGCAAGGGATAGACTTGTGATCATTATTCTTGGTTATCTACTTGATGACATATAATCTGGATCTTAGAGGTAGGGAAACATCCTTTTAATCCAGGTATTTTAGACACTTCCTTAATCTTGATCTTTAATCAGGAAGAAACACTTCTAATGTACATCTAATTTTGATGGGCACCTATATAAGGACATGGGAGAAGGAAGCTTTTGTTCTTTGCTGCTTGCTATCAGGCCACTACTTAATCCATTCCTTCACTGGCATTAGAACCTACTCCTTCTGGATTCTAGAATATATATCAAGATATGTGGCTTTGAAATATCTAATTATGGTATTTACCTTGATCCTCTACATAATGTACTCAGAGGAGTACATTTATACATGCAAGCATGTGTAAAGTTTAAAAAAGCATATCCATTGAGTAGTAATGCACACAATAATAACTACACTGGCAACAGAGATAAAATAAACCTTAATGTATAGAATGAAAATAAAAAAGATATTATGTAAATATAAAAAATAATATATTCATAAAATTTGAAAGCTGTTTCCAATGACATAAAGTATTCATGCTACACCACATTATACAAAAATTCAAAACACACACACACACACATACACACACACACATACAAACACACACACACAAACCCATGTATTTGAAGAGCAAGGAAAAGAAACAGAATTCTCTCTTCATGAAAAAATGGATATTTTGTAGAATTGTGTACCTAGTTATGAAAACATATTGAAACAAATATAAATATATACTGAAGAAAATCAAAACATATTTTAAAATTACAAAACAAAACAACAACTAAAAAATGTTAACAACCTTATTCTCAATGATAGAAAATTACCAAGACAGCATGTAGTGTTTCCTATAGATGAGCCCAGAAGTGGAATAATTAGGTCATATGTCATGTTATTTCTATTTTAAAAGTTTGATGAGCCTCCAACATGATCTCCATAATATCTCTAAACATTTTCGTGCCCCAATAGAAAATAAGGATTTCTCTTTGCCAACAGCCTTTCAAATACTTATGGTTAGATTTCTTGGTGATAACTATCATACTTCTAGATAGTTGTAATTTGTTTTAAACACAAAAGGAACAGCCAAGTATTTTATTTATAACCAAGGAGGATAATGAGAAATTGAGGACAAACAGCCTATACAACAAATTCTGTTGACAGGCTAAGTATCAACATGAAGTGGAAAGAAATTGGATCATTGTCCTCCCCTTGTATAGGAATCAATTCAAAATGAATCACAATCCTTAGATTGAAACATGAAACACTGAAATTGATAGAAGATCACACACTTAATAATTGTCAAGACATTGGTGTAGGCAAGAACTTACTGAAGAGAATGCCAATGTTACATAAACTAGCCTTGGGTATCAAAAGATGGAGCCACACAAAATGAAGGTACAACTACAACCAAATGAAAAAGAATACTCTGTAGAGCAAAGAAAATTGTTATCAGAACACCATATAATGAGAGAAAACATTTTCCATTTGTTCTCTAGGTGTTGATCTAATATCTAAAGTTTTAATTAACTGAAAGAAGTTAGTTATAAATCAAGGAAACAAAACATCCAACCAACAAATGGGTAATGGCATGAACAGATCCTGTACAAAAGAAAACCACATATAGCCAGCAGCCACTTTCAAAAATTTTCAACATCAATGATCATCACATAAATGCAAAACTAAAAAAAAAAGTATTGATTGTTTCAGTGATAATGTTTCAAGATTCAAAGATACATCAGCAGGAAGAGATGAAGAACAGAAATGCCTGCTATGGAATATTGAATGTTTGCTGTTTCACATCTTTTCCACTGAAAATTCAAGAAGATAGAATTGTTAGAAACTCAGTTAAAAGGAGAATATGAAACACTGGAAAAATTAATGGGTGGTTAATCCATTGATATTTCAGGGGAAACCAAATCACATGCAGTTCATATTATTAATGAAGGGAAATGGAGTAGAAAACTTGAGGTGATTATATCCATAATTAGACCATGGCTATACATGAGAAAAATGAATGATCAAGATAAGAATGGAAATCTTTTGAGAAATCTTGAAATTCATATTTTTATTTTCAATAATAAGTATAAAAAGTGTTTGAAATGAACATAACCCTGTGAGAATTATTAGGATAACCACAAAGCAAGTATTATTTCCTTTAACATGAAATATTTTTATTAGGAAGAAAGCATCTAATTAGAAACATTATGAAATCCAAATTATCAAGGAGTATATTCTCTATGAAATTGAAAACCTTCTGTAAGGCACAGGACACTGTCAAAAGACAAAAATGGCAGCCTACAGAATGGGAAATTATCTTCACCAACTCCACATCTGACAGAGGGTTGATATCCAAAACATATGAAAAAACTCAAGAAACTAAGTATCAAAAAATCAAATAATCCAATTCAAAAACGGGGTACAGACTTAAACAGAGATTCTCCACAGAGGAATCTCAAATGGCCAACATCCTCAGCCATCAGGAAAATGCAAATAAAAACAACACTGGTCTTTCATCTTACACATGTCAGAATGGCTAAGATCAAAAATCCAAGTGCCAGCTCATGCTAGTGAGAATGTGGAGCTAGGGGAACACTCCTCCAATGATACTGGGAGTACAATCTTGTACAACCACTTTGGAAATCTAAATGATGGTTTATTGGAAAATTGGGAATAGATCTACCTCAAGCACCCAGCTATACCACTCTTGCAAGTACACCAAAAGGATGTTGCACTACACTGGAAGGACACTTGTTCAACTATATTCATAGCAGCTTTATTCTTAGTAGCCATGAACTGGCAACAACCTTGATGCCTTTCAACCAAAGAATGTATAAGGACATGTTGGTACTTTAATACAATGGAGTACTACTCAGCTGTTAAAAACAATAACATCATGAAATATGCTGGCAAATGGATGGAACTAGAAAAGATCATACTGAGTGAGGCAACCTGGATCCAGAAAGACAAAAACAGTATATACTCACTTAAAAGTGGATATTAGCTATAAATGAGAACTATGCTACAATCCACAAACCCATAAAAGCTAAGTAATGAGGAGGGCTCAAGGGGATGGGAGGAAGCATGCATTTGTTTCAGTTTCTGAACACAACAGATGTACTTGTAATTGTGTTGTTCAAATGCTACTTTGACTTGTCTTGTCACCTTCACCTTTAAGTAAATAAGAAAAAATGATGCTCACAGACGAGTAGAGAGATTCTCTGTTTGTAGTCTCTTATGGGGGATATTATTGTCCATTTACAATGTGACTTTAAAAAGTACCTGACCAGGAAACTAGCCATACTTCTCATAGGCATTAATATGCATTAATCTGGAAAGAAATATTATTTTTAGTAATATATGTATATATAGTAATAAATACATATTTATTATCTTGGAATATATATGTGTGTGTGTGTGTATTTACAATGCTATATATGAATATATATAGTGTTTCCTTATCACCTTTTAAATTAGGACCTCACAAAATAAAATAAAATTAGAGATGAAGCCACAAAAACATTATTGTACATTCCATGTACATTTTATGATTATAGGAAAGAACTCGCCTGTGTGCATTCAATCAAAATGTGAGGAGAATCAAGTAAGAGGGGAAAAAACAAAAGAAACCCACTCTCCACATATAGTCAGATAGGCACGCTCCTGTGAATGGATTTCTCTCACCGTATTTGTTTGTCTATTTCAGACTAGGCTGTCAAAACATACTTACATCTACCAAATTTTCCTCTCTGATCATTTATCCTGCTGTATATTCCCAGGACTGATGACTTAACACTGCATTCAAGTTTCAGCAAAAACACAATTGCATCACAAGGACCAAAATTTCTCTTCACACCTAACCGTCTATCTGCTGACCTTATATCTGGACAGTGCTTCTGCATTTCCATTTTACAGAGTTTTGTTCTAAATTGAATGCAAGCCATCTTCCTCCATTTTATTTCTTAATACATGGATTCTACAGCTACAGAAATGTCTGCATGGAATAAATAAATCTCATATCCCTCACAAAGAATCCTACATAGACGTTTCTCTCCAGCAGAGTCCACATAATTTTACCCATTTGTCTGCCAATGCCCCACAGCCTTAAAACTAACTAAGAAACAACACTCAGAGGTCGCCCTCAACATCTATATGATCTCCAGAACACATCCATACCAACTGTTAACAATCAGAAACACTGGAATGAAATGGAGCAAACGGTGCAAAATTGACAGAGTCTAAAAGATTACTAATCAAAATTATAGATGAAAACTGTAAATCATTTTGAAAGCATTCTCACAGCAGAGGTCCCAACTCCAGATTATTGTATTCTGACTTCCAAAACAGCAGCAGCAGCACAGGCAGTTCCTGTCACTCTGCCATCACATAAGGACTCTGTAGTCACTGCAATAAATGGCATCATTTCTTCTCAAAGGAGAACAACTAGACTTTGAAAATTGCCCAAAGCAGTGTGTAAGCTTTTTAAAAATATTCCGTCTGCAGAGAAAACCGTGAACATGTCCTACCCCTGAACAGCTAAAAGCAAGGCAGAGGAACCTAGAGAGATACAGAGTATCATGTGCAAAATAACAGGAACTAAAACAAACTCTTCTTTCTTTGAGAGAAGAAAAGGGAACAGGACAACACAAGTGAACACAAGAGAGGGAATGCCAGGATGGGAAATTAGTGTTAAATTCACGTGAATCCAAACTTACTTGAGGACACTGAAGTCTGAATTTTAAAAAGGAACAAATTATAAAAGAACTTACCAGAGATCACGCATATCTTCACCTCTAAGATCATCTGTTTTCCTGAGATAATAATGGAAAAGAGGAACAAGGGCAGCAATCACCATGTTTCCATCACTATGCAAAGGACTTAGTGCTTTTAACTTGCACAAAAAATCATCCAAGGAGGACAAAGGAACAAGAGTCTGCAACAGCACGAAAATAAAAATTCGAGAGAGCATCAAAAAGCAGAAGGGTCTACCACAGTGTAAGCATGGGGGACACAGATCCCAATGTGTTTAACAGCTACATATAGAGCTCATATTTTTGTGGACACAAGAGTTTGTAATATTCCTGGTGACTGAAGTCATTACTCTAAACACATGTATTTTAGACAGGCCTCTTCTACTTTCTATGGAGAATTTTGGAAATCTCTCTTCCCTGAGACTTCCCATCTGAGACCCTCCATTAAAGATAAAAACAAACTTCGAAATACATTTGGGATCTTCTTTAACCACAGGCCCCATGACTTCATCTTAGAGGACAGAACATCAAGACCCCAGGGATGACTCCTCTTGAATAGACTTGTCAAAAGCTCTCTATCACAAAAGTTACACAAGACAGCGACTCAGGATGATGCAAGGGAGGATGTCAAGGGAGATGAGACAGAAAACATCCTGGAAAATGTCCCAACCAGACATGGCCCTATGGAAATCAGTAAGACACCCTGCTTTTTAAAACTGATTATTGCCTGTGCCAAACTAACTTGCAAATGGCATGGAGGAGTCTAAAAGGACTTTTTCTACAAATCTTGCATGTCTGCATACCAATATTCCTTCCATGTCTCCCCATACTCCAACATGTTTTCTGTCTCAGTCTTGGTAGACTGATAGACTGAATTCATGAATTCCAAATCAATGGCTCAATCAATGAGGAGATTAGGTATTCTGTTTACTTTTTGAACTCTCACCTACTCTTGTATTGTGTGTCTTTTCAATGCTGAGTCATAAAGAAAAGATTCAGCCACTATGTTTTCTTTGAATATGAAGTATTAAAAGAACCCCTTCCATTTTCCATAAGTAAGTAAATAAGAGCTCATATACTCCACCCATCATGTATAAAACATTCATTCAGAATAATTAAATGTTATTAATCTGAAAAGCAGAAAGTGCCATGATTGTAAACTTAAAGTCTGAACAATTTCACAAGAACACATATAACTAACATCACAGCCATAGCTTCATATTTGTTACATTGTACTAGTTTACAGACCAAATGTGGAAAAAGTTGAACACAGCAGCTAGCTTCTAACCTGAACACTTGCCATTCAGCTCTAATATTCATCTGCTGTGGGAGGGGGGAGAACAAGAGAATCCGTGGTGATATGTAGAACTGAATTGTATTGCAAAATAGAAAAAAAAATTTAAAAAAAGAAAAAGAAAAAGAAGCAAGGTCTGAAAGAAACAGTGACATCTACTGACTGTCACAGGGACCTGCAGTTTCTTTATCTTGACAAAGGTTATAAGTGACTTTAGACTTGTGTCTCCCAGATGGCTCTGTTAAGACTCTAAGCCCTGATAACTGTGACTCCTGATTGAAAATGGGTTATATTATGAGGTGATGAGTGTGGATAAGGTCATTGTTGGAACCAATGTGGTTGGAAAGATCAATGGCCAAGATGGAGAACATGGAAGACAGGACTGCTGAGATTTTACAATCTGACTCTCAGAAAAGTGAGTCCCCTTTTTCAGAGGTTAGAGTATAGTCAGGTTCAGGGAAACCTTCAGGTTGAATTTATGTGTTCTAGATTTGTGAGGGGATATATTTTTCATGGTTTTAAACGCTCACTTTTGGTTCAGTATTGTCGCATTACAGAAAAAAGACACTAAGTGTTTAGATGGTGGAATAGCACAAATGTTTTATAACAAATAGTCTCCTGTGTAATTAAAAAATGAGCCATACAATTTTTCTGTATGACTGACATATTTTTATTCTCATTTCGTATTTTAGTGCCTGATACTTGGGGATTAATATTAGTACTAGGACTTAGATCCCTTTCTATAATCTGCCATGCCTATGCTTAATTTACAGTTCATATGTCAGTATTAGAGGAATCAAAACACCTTACGTTTTCATTACAGTGTGGATAGAAATGTGGAAATTTAAACAAAATAGACATTGAGATGAGAGAGGTCTTAGAAACTGTGATTCAGAAAAAACAACTTGATTTAGTCTGTATCTGACTTAACATTACTTTTTTAATTACCTTACAAAGTAATGAGTTCACTTAGGATATTTCAATAGGATCTTAGATTCTATTGATTCTCCTTTTTATTTTCTATCCTTCTACACATCCTTGGAGTACACTTCTGCCGCATTATACCTATCTCCTTCCATTTTAAATGTGTCCTGTTTTCAGTTCTTTCTTTAAAGATGTGTGCCTTTCCTAAGGGAAACTATTTCTCTTGCTATCAGAATTCTTTACTCATCATTTATCCCTTTGAACTTTGCAGAACAACTTCTCTCACAATGATGCAAGACTTCAGGAAGGATATTTTCAGAATAGTTTTAACTTAGGGGTCTCTGGCCAGTATTTCTAAAGCACGTGTTCTTTGAGGCAGCAGGGGCTTAAATTCTGGTATTTTGGAAATCTCTTGGAGAACACTGAACAACAACTCAGCAATGCTTCTCATGTCAGGTGTTACTGTTTTTGTTAGGTGGTTTGTTACTCTTCAGAGCAACATTCAGTCAGATGGGAAATATCCATATGAACTATTTATGCATATTTATACATTGACTTGCATGCATTGTAGTTATTTTTGTATAAATATGTAATGGTTTGATTCCTTCTGACAGTGTCACTGATCCTGTCACTAGGCCCTCCTTCCTCCCACTTCGTATTTACCTGCCTCCCTACAGTCACCGCATCCCACTTTGTCCTTTCCCCCTTGAGAAAACTGGTGTACTTTTTCCCCCCTCTCTATTTTTCCTATCATGGTTCCTTTCTATTTTCTTGTTTCTCAATTACTTTGAGTCATGTATTCTCATCTGAATGTGGAGCCAAGACCCAAAGGAAATGCTATTGAAGGAAGTAGTACAGGCTATGATTTGAATACAGAAGACACTCAGTTTGAACCCTGTCATGGTCATGACAAAAGACCCAAAGTCCAGACACTTTCAAAATTAATTTCAACTGGTCAGAGACATGTCATCAGAATATCATAGGCTGGAAGAACAAACATTAAAACAAAAACTATAAAAACAGAATAATATTATTGAAATCAGATATACCAACCCCTCAATTAAATATCATAAAATACGAACAATACCATTTTATGTAGCTCATGATCGACAGGGCAGAAAAAGATATCACAGCAATAGGGAAATATGAAGTTAACATTTTATCATCTGTTTTTGTGAAGGATTATTTTCAGTTTATCGAATCATGATGTGCAAAATGCTGGGCGAATCTCTGAAGATATATCCAAACTGAACAAAATTCACAAAGAGTAATAAAAGAAGAAATGAGGAATTACTTGATCTTGGATCAAACCTGATGAGTTAAAGCTGCAGGCACAGTTTGTGACCAAGCTCCTGTAACTGCCAAAGAGTTTAACATCATTAAGCAGAAAACTTGTGTTCTGCACAGTGAAAATATTTAGGGTTACCATGGAGTAAAACAGCACCTATAGAAGACTCAAAATGAGAAAATGACAATTGAAATATATTTGACTGAGAATGCTGATCATATAGAGCCATTCTAGAGAGTGATCTAATGTAGACACGTTCCCATGGATTATCAAAAAGAGATTACTATTGCTTTGACCCATGCACCAGGGTACAGTTTAAAATGATGGTGATGGCAGGATATGTCAGGATCTTAGAACTGGTTCTGTGTTCCAAGAGAAAAAAAAAGAGTTGTCATAATGAGGGGTTCCAGGAAGCTTCCATCAGGGTTTCATAATTCACTGACCAGTGGTATGAGGTATGTCCACAGTCTTGTAAGAAGGCCTTGAAATAATATTGCATCTCAGATGTCTTTTGCTGAGGAAAGCCATATGAATGGTTTGTAGCTGAACCAAGACTGGGGTAATGTATCCATTACCACTATCCACTAATGTATTACCAAAATTACTGTATTTATTTTTACTAGTAAACTACATTTTAACATTATGTTGTTTCATAAATTTTAAGCAGATAGTAAAATATCCATTCAGGGAGATAGTATATCCAGATATGTTTTCCAAGATGAGTTTTCAATAAATATTAACAGTGAATGAAAATTTATTTTGAAATATTATCAATTCTTTTGTTTTTAGTTGTCCATAATTTAGACTGCTCTATAATAAATAGACAAAATGTCTCAGTAAATCACTTCAGAACTCAGCCCAAATTAGATTTTTTTTCCTCTATTCGTCTCTTCTTTATTACATCCCAAACACAGTTCCCCCACCAACTTCCACTCCAAGTTCCTCCCCTACCTCTCCTCCATCCACTCCTCCTCCTCCTTTCCCTTCAGAAAATGGCAGGTCTCTCTGGGGTATTAAACAGACATGATATATCAAGCTTTAGTAAGCCAAGGCACCACCCATTTTATTAACAACTGACTAGGCAAACAAGTAGGAGGAAGACAACAGGCACTAGTCAGGGACAGACCCTGCTCCCACTATTTGGAGTCCCACAAGAAGAAAAAGCTGCTCAACCACAACATATATGCAAAGGGCCTTGACTAGACCCATGCAGGCTCCTTGACTGTCAGGTCTGTCTCTGTGAGTCCCTATAAGCCCAGGATATTTGATTCTGTGGGTTTTTTTTCTGTAGTGCCCTGTGGTAAGACAGCTCCCACCTTTTAAAGGGTTCCTATGAGGAAGAGCAAGGGATAAGAAAACATTAGATGGAAAGATATTGAAGAGGAGAAAGACAGAAACACAGAATAGCTTTGGGAAAATCTGGATCAATCCCTTCTGTCTCTTCAAAGGGGCTTTTTATAACAATGCCAAGGGGTGGGTAAAAAAGACCTCCCCCTTGCTAGATCAAAGCATACTGCACAGCCAAGTGTAGACCCTTCCAAATACCTAGTAACCACATCCATGGTCACATCATCCCCTTATGCAGCCATATTGGAAAAAGCAAGCTCAGATTTTTGGACCCTAAGTAGGTTCTCAAGAGGAAACCTCTCTGGGTCCCTCTAATGTCCTTGACCCCT